CACAGGAAGCAGAGGAAGGTGAATCTCTGTGAGTTCAAGGTCAGTCTGGTCTACATAGTAAGTTCCAGGCCACCTGGGGCTTCGGGAAGACCCTGTCTCAAAAAGACCAAAAAAAAAAAAAAAAAAAAAAAAAAAAAAAAAAAACACCTTTCCTAGTATTTCTATTATCCCAAGAGTTTTATCAAGAAATTTGTGAGTTTTCTTTTTTAGCCTATTAATATGGTGGATGATGTTTATTTTGAATACTGAACTAGCCTTGGATTACTGAGATAAAACCCACTGGGTGCTGGTGTGTCACTATTTATATTTATTAGATTTGCTATCCTAATAGTTTGCTGAGAATACCTAAATGCATGTTCATGCAGGATATCAGTCTGTGGTTTTATTTTCTGGTGCCAGTTTTCATGGGTTTTATTATCTGAGAATGCTGGCCTTTTAAAACAAGTTGGAAAGTGTTCCTTCTTGTTTTGTTTTCTGGAAAAGATCCACAGAGTTGGTGTTATTTCTTTTTCAGTTAGTTGGTAGAATTTTCCGTTGAAACCACCCAGAGCTATAGGTTTCTTTTTAGGGAAAAAATTGTCATATTTCAGATCTAATAATTTTCATAGAATATTTTCTACTAGGATTATTATAATAAACGAACTAGCACTCTTCACCTAAGGAGAAAGTAGAGGAGAAATAGATCAGTCATCTAGCCAGGATGTGTGTGGAGAGAGGAGAGGGGAGCAGAAGCAGGAACTCTGGTCTGTAGACAGGTCAGAGACAGTGATGGTTAGAATCAGGCGGTGTCACTGAGATGAACAGAGTGGGGTGTTTGGGTGTATTTTGGAGAAGGAGCTAATGTGACTTGTTGAGTCTTAGGGAGCAGGATAGTGAAGCATCACTGTATCTTAAGATCTTGCGTATGTTAAGACAGCAAGGAAGACTTACCATGGAGAAGTGTGTTGTTGCCTATTGCATGTGGCCTTAAGGACATCAAAGTTCATCATCCATTCTTGTGAAATGACACAAAGGAATGTCCTTATTATGATAAGAAACATTTATCAGAAAATAACAACAGCATCTCAGCAGAACTGGGAAGAAGGTGAATATATACCTCTGTTTTTACCACTACTCAGAATTATGTTGAAAATACAGTTAAAAGCTTTGTAAAAGATTTCTTATGTCTAGAAACCCCAGAGAACCAAAAAGTTAGAGCTAGTAATAAGATAAAGAAGCCAGCAGTAACTTCAGAGCACAAATTCCAGTTAGCTTTCATGAGTGTCAGCAGTCATCTGGTGGGGAAGCAGTGCAAGAGAATTTCAGAAGAAACAGCACAGTACAAAATATCTAGGGGTGATATATGAATAGGCTATGTGATAATTATAAGGTGCTTATATCATAAAACTTTAAAATCAAAGGCCAAAAGAATTACTTAAATGAAGATTCGTGCCACATTCTTGGAGTGGGAAGAATCAACATTGAAAAGTTACTGATTCTCTTCAACTTTATAAATCAAATATAATTATATCCTGTTCCTTGGGATTATTTGAAGGGAACGTGGCTTTTATTCTATCATTTACCTGATAGCATAAGTGCATAAGCTTAATTTATGTCACTAATTGTTAAAATAAAAGAGATTGAAAATTTTGGATACATAGAGGCCTGCAAAAAAGTCATCCTACCTCCTCTTTTACTTCTCACACAAAGACATGTAACATTTAGGATTATAGTATACTGCTTCAGTATGTGCAGTAGGTGACTTCTTTATGTCTGCACAGGGCTAGACAGACTGCCCTCTTCCCCCGACATCCCAAAGCTTTCTTGGGATTTAGACACTTTCGCTTGAAGCTAGTCTATAATGACCATTAACAAAAAATGTTTAGCAGTGGACAATGTCCAATTATAGCACATTTAAAGCAGGTTTAAATGCACAAGTCTCTGTTTTTGTTTTGTGTATGCTTTAGTTGTAGCTAGCTGGTACAATTTTGAGACTTTTTCAGTATCATAGATTATGTTTATTGCCAGAAAGTACAATATATCTTCTGACAGTGTATGCATACTTCTTGGCATGGCTTGCTTCATTGAAGTTAGCAGTCACAATTTTCTTTGCCATTGGAGAGAAGGGAATTATTAAATATAAGGTGTGTGTCATGAAGGTTTCAGGTCTGTAAGGTAAATTTAACCAGTGGACTTTTAGAATAAATATAGGAAGTATTTAGAAAATAAGGCTTCCATTGGGGCAGTGGATAAGGGGAGGAATGTGTGCATTGGGTCAAACAAAACTGGCTGTGAGTGGATGTATTTTGAAGCTGAGAGAATACATTGGGGTTCACAGTCCTACTCTGCTTTTGGATGTTTTCAGTGTTATTGGATAAAATGATTTAAAAATACATGAAAAATGATTAGTAAGGAGAGCAAACTCTTGAGGAAAGCACCCAGTGTATTAGTTACTTTTCTGTTGTTGTGATAAAACACCATGACCAAGGTAACTTACAGAAGGAAGAGCTTATTGGGCTTACAGTTCCAGAGGGATGAGTTCATCATGATGAAGGTGGCATGGCAGGACGCTGCCAGAACAGAGAGCTGAGCACTCATATCTTCAAGTAGGCATGGGAAGCAGAGAGACAAACTGGAAATGGGCAAGGGTATACACATAGCCCACCCCCTGTGACATGCTTCCTCCAGCATGACCACATCTCTCAGTGGTTCCATGACCCTCCTCAAACAGCACCACCAACTGGGGACCAATTGTTCAAATACTTGGGGGAAAAAAATCTCATTCAAACCACCAACAACAAATTAAAACAATTTGTTAATTGAAGAACTGTTGAAAAGCACTATAATAATAGAATCAAAATCAAATATAAGAAGATAAATTTATTGCCAACCTTAGGAAAATACATGTCTAATTTTCATTTTTTTAGTAAGGATGGAGATGATAAGAAAAGACCTGTGATCATTCACCGAGCTGTACTGGGATCTGTGGAAAGAATGATAGCTATTCTCTTAGAAAACTATGGGGGGAAATGGTAAGTGACAGAAAAACTGGGTGCCTTTTGTTCTTTAAAATTGTGCCTGATCAGATTAAATTGTCAATTTCTGCCTCATAATTAGCAAGCATTCAAGCAACAAGTGAAGAATTCTTGTCCTGGTTGCCAGTTTGAAAAACAGAAGAATGTGGGCAGAGTGACATGAGACTATACCACTGGTCCTTTGAGGAATTCAGTGGTGTTAAACAGTTATCTCTTCACCTATTTTAAGCCCTCCAGAGATCTAGTTTCTGTCTGGAAAACATGTCTCCCAGGGTTCCGTGTCTTGCAACACACACTGCTATCTCTTTCAACTGTGATTGTTGCCCTGGGGGATCGCTATGGCCAATGACTGAGGAGAAAAACGTGTACACCTGATCAACCAATGGCCTGAACAATACATTCATACAAGCCTAGAGAAGTTGGCCCCAGCATCAGACCCATTTAGAGAAAGAAGATGCTCTAAAGTGATGCACCTTGGTGTCCTCTTTCCTGGGAGGAAACTGACCACAGGTGTGGTGAGGGAGTTACATGCCAGTTAATGCCAGGCTCTGGTTACTGTTCTGGACATAAAGGCAGATATGTAGAAGTAATTAGATTGAAAAAATAGGTGACAGGTTTTGGAAAGAGGTATTTGGTTGATTGCACCAGATGGGCCACAACAGTGGTATGGCCCAGCAAAAGGCCCTCACTGTTTAGGAGTTTTTGAATATTCAGATACAAGAGAATCCATTCAGTGATTCATAGGCAGAAGCCAGTAGGGAATGTTTATCAGCTCCACCACATGGGCATTCCTTCACCAAGTTCCACCTTGCTACATCTCTTCTGAGAACTTAGTTGCCATGAGTAGTAATCAGTCCTAATTCCATAGTCTGGCACTGTAACCCGGGGAAACAGCTGGCTACTTTGGGGCAGGTTGATTATCTTGGCTCCTTTTCATCAGGCAAGAGCCAGTGCCAGAGATGGTGATTTTGACTAGAAAATATAGTAAGTCGAGGTTTTGCTCTGTTCTTTCTTCCTATGCTTTTGCTAGCAGTGCCAGGGAGCAATTTCTTAGCTAAGAAGCAAGGTACTGACTGAGCCAGTGTTATTGGACTTACTGCTATCCCCATGTACTCAGAGGCAGCCACTTGACCAGCAGCCACAGCACCAGCTAGCAGCAAACATGTCCTGGATGCTACATTCTGTAGCAGCCAATAGTGAAATGCTTGCTTCCCGTCCTGTTTTTAAGACGTTGACTGAATGTCTGCTCATAATGTTTTATTATGCTTACTATATGTATTATTTTATTTCGGCAATTTAAGAAAAACGTGAATATATAATCGTAAAGTACCATCTGGGACTAGTACATTGTACTCCCCTCTACCTTCACACTAATTCTCATTATGATGATGAAGAATGTAAATGTGTCCCACATCAAACATTGCTCACACACACACTTTATACTTCTAAAATAACATATTTTGACATAACCATAGATTCACATGTAGTTGTAAGAAATAATATAGAGAAGTCCAGGAAAACCCAGTTTTCTCTGATAGTAACATCTTGCAGAATTATATAGTGTATCACAACCAGAAAGTAAACATTGATGCTACCAGCCTGTTCAGATTTTACCATTTCACATGCACTCAATTATATGTGTAAGCATATTTAGTTATGTAAGATGTTATCACATGTATGCATCAAGTAATCACCACCAATGAAGATACTGAACAGTTCCATCATTTGTAATGACTGCTCATGCTGTCCTTTTATGGACACACATGCTCTATCCCAATCTGGACACTAATCTGGCAACCATGAATCTGTTCTTTCTCTCCACCATTCTGTCATTTCAAGAATGTTACACCAATGGGGTCATATAGGATACAGAGTTTTGAGACTGACTTTTTTCACTCAGTGGACTTCCCTTGAAATCCTTTTCTGTCAAGTATCAATAGATGATTCTTCATTACAGGTCATGGTGTACCATGGTATGGATGCACCAGAGTTTGACCATTTACTTGCTGAAATACACCTGGGTATTTCCAGTTTACAGCTGTTCTCCTTGAAGCTGCTCAGAATATCAGTGTGCAGGATTTATAGGGATAAAATTTGATGTAGGATACATGCCCAGGAGCACAAGAACATGAACATCCTTCCACCTGTGTTACCCCCTTTCCTCCCTCTCTTTTTCTACCAAAATTCCAAACTTCCTCTACTGTCTACTACCTTTCAAATTAATAAAGTTTGGTTTGGTTTCACACCATTTTACCCATACTATTGTCTTGTGAAATCTTATTTTAAATTTTTTTATTGGACTGGAGAGATGATTCAGTGATTAAGAGCACTGGCTGCTTGTGCAGAGGACCTGGGTTTGAGTCCCAGCACCCACATGGTGGCTAACTACCACCTGTAACTCCAGTTCTGGGGGAATCTGTCACCCTCTTCTGATCTCAGTGGGCATTGTATGACACAAGTGCATTTAACATACATGCAGGCAATACACTCATGCACACTAAAAAAAAAATTTATTATCTTTAATCATGTAAGTGGTAATTTAGAAATGATTTTTAAAATACTATTTTATATATTTTTTCAGGCCTCTCTGGCTGTCTCCTCGCCAGGTAATGGTCATCCCTGTAGGTCCAACTTGTGAAAATTATGCACTTCAGGTAAAATCAGAGACATTTAAAGAACATTATGACTTACCATATGTTCTGTTTAGGTCATTTGTGCTTTAAGATATTATATAACTAACATTGATTTAACAACCTATTTTCAGTCATTGGGAGCAATGTGTGAATCATGTCTGTTTAACTGCATCAGCTCTATTAATATTTTTGAGAAACTGGTATTTTCACATTTCTTGTAATTGCTGTTTTCTACATGCCTTTATTGGAGAATGCTGCCTTATCTATTACTGCATAACAAATTATCCTAAAACTTATTAGCAGCTTATAACAACAAATACTTATTACCTCAGTTTCTGGGAGTGAAGGGTCTGGAAGCAGCTTAGCCAGTTGATTCTGACTTGGCGTCTCATGAGGTTTCAGTCCTTGGGTGTGTGCCCGCACACCTCAGTTCCTCATCGTGAATACCTCACATCTGGCAGCTGGTTCCCCCAGAGCAAGAGATCTGGAGAGAAGGAAGTGTGTGGCAGGCATTGACAATCTAAACTTGGTAGTAGTGTGTCCTTACTGCTGTGCCTTTCTGTGGCCACACACACCAACTCTGAACAAAGTAGAGAGAGCTACAGAGGGGGTCAAGACTAGGAGATGGGGAACAGCATGGGCTTGGAGTCTGGCTACCATAAATGATGTAATGATAAAGCATTCCATTTTCTTCTAGGTATACAGTGAATTTTTTGAAGAAGGATTTATGGCCGATGTGGATTTAGATGACAGTTGTACACTAAATAAGAAAATACGAAATGCACAACTAGCTCAGTATAATTTTATCTTGGGTAATTTAAGTTTGTATAGTTTTCCAAATGCTTGGTTTGGGGATGTAACTACAAAAAATTCAAAACGGGGATTATAGTGTAACTACTTGCTTATCACAAGCTGACTGTCAAATACTGATGCACTCCCTAGGTACTCTCATATGCAGGAGAAGGGTTACATAGTTTCACATGGACCATAATGATGCAGTGTTACTAGCAAATAGCTCACATTCAAGCCCAAATGAAGACAAATGTGAAATCATTCATCAGTATATTGCATATGGTTCACCCATGTGGCAAAATACTTTAACTTGCTTTTCTGGGTTACAGAGTTAAACTAGAGTAGAAAAGAATTCACGTTTAAAATGGTGAAAAGAAAAGATGAATAAATAAAATATTCTAGAGGCATATAATTGGTATAGAGCCCAAAAGTTCTGCTTTGAAAATGATTTTGAGGGCTGGAGAGATGACTCAACAGTTAAGAGCACTGGCTGTTCTTGCTAAGGACCTGGGTTTGATTCCCAGCACTCACATGGCAGCTAACAACCATCCTTAATTCCAGTTCCAGGGGAACTGGACCCTCTTCTGACCTGTGTGGGCATTGTACGTCACTGGTGCCCTGACATACATGCCCATACATACATACATACTCAAAACATAAAAATATTTTTTAAAAGAAAATGATTTTGAAATCAAGAAATACTGATATTGATATGCCTGCAGGTGTGGTGTAAATATTCCTCAAGTTGAAAGGGTCTGTAGAAAGAAGCTAAGCAATCAGTGTTGTCCTGTCTTCAGGTGTTCACAGATAACCATTGGATCTGTAGTAGGAATTTGATGTTTCACTCAGGCTCTTTGTGGTGATCAAAATCTCAAATTAGAGTAGACGAAGACAAAACTTACTGGAAGAGTACTGTAGGGCTACATGACATGAAAGGTAGAAGTAAATAGCCCCGCTATTGGAAGATAACCAGGAGCTCAACCCTCAGTAAGACTATCTCTCCACGTGGTTCCTGTTTTCCTCTGGTCCTTCATATATTTGAATATCTACTTAGTTCCACTTATCAGTTTCTTCTTTTTTTTTTTAACCCCTCCCAACTCCCTTTCTTTTTTAAAAAAATATTTTTATTTTTATTTTATGTGTATGAGTGTATTGTCTACATATATGTGAGTGCACCCATGTCATGCAGTGCTGTGGAGGTCAGAAGAGGGCTTTGGACTCCTCTGGAACTGGAGTTAAGGACAGTTCGTAGCTGCCATGTGGGTACTGGTAATTGAACCTGGGTCCTCTGCAAGAGTAGTCAGTGCTCTTAACTGCTGAGCCATCTCTTCAGCCCCAGTTTCTTCTTTCTATTTGGCAAGAAATGTAGCCACCAATTCCTGTATCATCTCACAGTATGGCTCACTAGAGAGAACAAGATTGTCCCTACATTCTAGAAAATTCTGGTTGGCTAGCATAGCGCCATGACACATCTTTAGAGTCATTAAGTAGGACAGGAGGAGCCAGGTGTTCTTGAGAGCTCCCTGTTCCCATCTGTGCCCCAGGACCACAATACTATACTCTGAGTGGACAATAGTGGGGTTTAGACACCATCCCTTCCCTAAAGACACTGCACTATCAGAGGAAGAACCTAATGATCATTAGACTGATATTTAGTGACTAATATTGAGGGAAAACTCAGGCTTGTGTCAAATGACTATTAGCTTAATGTTTAGTAAATCATTTAAAAAATGTTTATTTCCCTTTCTGCAGTGGTTGGTGAAAAGGAGAAGATAAATAATGCTGTAAACATTCGAACAAGAGACAACAAAATTCATGGTGAAATTTCAGTAGCTTCTGCCATTGATAAATTGAAGAATCTCAAAAAATCCCGCACACTAAATGCTGAGGAAGACTTCTGAAGTCCTTTCCTTGTACTTTAGGAAACCTTGTTTCAACCTTTGAAAATGTTTTTTCCTAACCAGTTAAGAAACCACTGATAGGTCCACTAATGGGATTATTTAAGAAGGATTGGCTGATATACACAAATTTTAATTCACTGTGTTCTGAGGATGAGAATAGGGGAAGCTAGAGACGTTCTTAAGAAATCACCGACTTCAGAAACCTCAGTGCTGTGATGTTTTTCATTCAAAGATGGAAACCCTAGATAACAAATGTGAAAAGTTATGCTAAGACTTTTTCAAAAGATGGGCTTTAGGGCTGAGGGCTGCAGCTCCATAGTAGAGCATTGATCTTGCGTGCATGAGGCCCTGGGTTCCATCACAGAAACTCCACCCCTGCCCAACAACAACAAGAAGATGGACTTCATTAAAAGTCCACAATCCTTGAATATGGGGGAAAACTTATTTTCCAATACATTGTTTCTCAGGTATTTTTATGGCTGTTTTACTAAGGTTTGCACTGAACCTTCATGTCCAAAGTTGGTATCATTACTTAATTTGTTTTAACTAATCAGCAACCATAAGAGAAGTACTAATATTGTACTACTGACAAAGGACTGTGAACCTCAAAGAAATTTTTTTGTGGGATCTGTTATTTGCACTGTAGGTTAAGAGTTGCAGTTTTAATGCTTCTAATTCATAATTTCATATTTATCTTTAGAAAATATCCAAATAAAATGCATCAGTGTTTCCAGTGTTTCTGCGATGTATGTCTATTACTATAAACTATTACCTAGAGATAAATTCATTTTTAAAAATTTTTGTATTGTTTCTTCCTTGGGAAAAAAAATGTGTATGAGCGTTTTGCCCACATGTATGCAAGTGCATCTATGTTGTGCAACGCCCGTGGAAACCAGAAAAGGGTGTCGAATCCTGAGACTGGGGTTATGGACCATTATTAGCTGCCCCATTCTAATGTGGGGTGCTGGGAACTGAACCCCGTTCCTCTGCAAGAGCTAGAGCAGCCAGTGTTCTTAACCTGAGCCATCTTGCCAGCCCCCTTAAATACTTTTTTGATAGGATGTTATACAGATTTACCAACTCAAATATATTTGGTGTTTTTTTTTTTTTAGTGAAAGCCTCACTATGTTGCACCGGCAGGCCCAAAACTTACTATGTAGTCCAAGTTGGCCTTGAGCTCACAAAGATCCAGCTGGCTCAGCCTCCCCAGTGTGTATTTGATTTTAACTGAAAGGAATTACTAGTTCAGAACCAAGTTAAAATGGCTTTAAACCAATAGAGAATTTAGTTACCAGTTGACTTCGCTAGGTGCTACAGAATTCAAAATAATGCAGAAAAGCATCTGACGTTAATTATTTACCTTCTTGGGGTAAGGGAACAGTGAAACGTCGGTGTCATAGATGAGAACAGTGTAGTGATATATAGGGTGCAGATTATGATACAGTTTTTAAAACTAGCATTTACTTGGGTTTATCGCCTGTTAGGCGGCCATTCCATGTACTTTTTCATTTATCAGATGTGCAATTGACTGGGGCGGGGAGTCCGAAAGCCCCAAAGCGCATTGCTTTGCAGCAGGTGGGTGGGAGGCGTGGCCGCGATGGAAACAGCGCAGGTTGTGAAAAGCTGTTCCCCTTCACAACACTGGCGGTCTCCAGGGCTGTGCCTCTCCTTTCACGCGAAAATCCCACACACCTGGCTCTTGTCCGAGACCTGTCTTGCTTTCCCTAGTCTTAAGAGGAATTTTCCGTTGAGTATCGTGTAGCCCTGGGAAAGTGCGCAGAGGTAAAACCTAAGGCAGGTGCAGAGTTCTGGGTCGGGGTGAGGTGGGTGCTGGACCGTCTGTCACCCTTGGAGATGCTCCGCGAGCGGAGTAGGTCAGCTGCCCACCTGTACGAACGTAGGGAAAGAAAAATGCCGACACCACCCCAACGCCAGGCTCCCGCAGTGAAAGGACCCGCGCCTCTTCAAAGGGCGTAAGGGGCGCCTGAGGAACGAGCGACCGCCCACGGTTGCGAGGCCCTAGCCCCACGGTTTCCCACGGACAGCCCGCAGCACAGGGAAGAAAGTGCGCTCAATACGAGCCGTGGGAATTTACAGATGCTCTGGCCGCGCGTGGGTGCAATGCGCCTGCGCCAAATGGGCCGCCAGGACACGCCCCCTTCGGCGCGCCCCGCAGCCCCTCCCCCCCACTCCGGAAGTGCGCACGCGCGCCGGCAAGATGGCGGCTGCGGCGGGACCGCTGCGGACCGTCCGCCGCCTCTGCCGCATGCTGCTGTTCCTCTCTCAGTTCTACATTCTGTCCGGCGGTGGTGAGTTCAAGGCCTGGGGCCGCATCTGGGCGAGCTGGTGGCAGAAGGGTCTCAGGAGCTGCGCGCCCGGCACTGGGCAGACAGCTGAGGCCGGTGGGTGGCCGCACCCGCCCCGCCGAGGCTGCGCTCCCTCGGCACCCGCCCCCGAGCTGGGACCGGGAAGTCCCCTGACCCCGAAGCACCCCCTCTCCCCCGGACCCGACACCAGCCCCCCCCCTTCCCTAGGGGCCGTAGACCACTGCCCCAGTTGACTCCGTTGTTTCCGTTTTCGTCATCTGGTATTCCAGGCCCGAGGTTTCCACGAACAATTATCCGCCACACAAACCAAAGTTATCGTGCCCCGGGATAACATGTTTCTCTAATTGTAGGATCCTTAAATTTAGAGCATTCGCAGCCGCTGGCTCAGGCAATAAAGGATCCGGGCTCAACACGCACATTCACAGTAGTTCCCAGGGCAGCAGGTACTAGACATTTTCTGTTGTAGTAAATGGGCATATTTATATTGAGTACTTTTTTTCTCTCTCCCTGTTTTCGATAAAATTAGTATACGAAGTCACCACTTGTTTTTGACCATTTGATGTGCTGTGTTTTAGAAGTGCAAATTAAAGGCAGACACAACCATTTTTAGTAGACAGTTTTGATAATTTGATAATGCATCTTTTCATTCAGTCCCACACTCCTCATATTTATTTCTATTTTTTCTCTTTCTCCCAGACTTAACTAGTGCTGCTTTCCCTTCAAGTTTTTTTCTAATTTCTAAAATGCTTCCCAATATTAGAAGTTAAAAGCCCCGCCCCCCCAGTGCTGTGTGATATAAAAGGGTAGAAGAGGACTTTATAAATAGTTGAGTGTAGATGTGGTAGTATTAGAAGCTTGAGGAAATTATTCCTTTAGGGCCTTTTGTTTCCTCATCTTTTCTTGCCACAGAGGTTAGTCTGACTGCCTCAAGCTATTTCAGCTCTTTGATTTGAACTGTCCCGCCTCCAGCCATAGAGACAGGAATAGTGGAAAAGAAACAGTATTTCATAGAGGTGACCACTTAATGAAATGGTTTTAAGAAAGAGCAGTTTTATAGTCTTCTTGAGTTTTGCTAAATGGAAACTGGCTCTATAGATTCATGTCTTTAGAGTTCCATTATTTCAGTGACTTGGACTTAAAACTGGTAGAGGAATTTCATGGCTTCTTATTTAGACATAAATGCAATGACTTACTTGAATTTAAAATTTTTTTTTTTTTTTTTTTGAGAAGCCATAGGAAACCTTGCATGTTCTGGAATCCTACATGTTCTGGGAAGCCCATCTTCTCAGGAATACTTGCAGCTTTTATTCTCAGCTGATAAAAGCATTGCACACCTGGTTGGGTTAGCTGGATAAAAAGTTGTAACTTGCTGAACAAATTACTAAAACAGGGAGTTAATTCTTGGGAACTTTGGTAGTATGGAACTATAAATGTTAGTAAATTATGACTTACTGAAATTCCAGTGGGATACGGACAGTACTAGAAAGTACTGTTGGAGTCCTAAGAGTGTCAGTGCCTTCATTTTTCAGTCAGTAAGTTCAGATGAAAAGAACATTGGATTGGAATTGAAGAGATCTGTGACTGGTTCTGGTTGTCATAAACTCTGCCTTGTCCAAACTTTAATTTTCCATCTGTAACTAGGTTTTGAGCCCTTAACTTGTAGTCAGAATTTTCTCTGTATTACATATGCAGGAGCACTTTAGTTCTTAGGGACACTTGGGAGGCAGGAATGAATGTTTTTAGCTAGTGTCACACAAGTTACCTGTTCACACAGCTAGCTGGTTATAGAACCCCTCTTAATTGCAGATGTCTCTTACTCTAGCTCTGGCTTCTTACATTCCAGTGCATGTATCATTGCTCATGATTGGTCTCTTAACCTTAGAAAATTGTCTTCCACTGTTATTTTGATCAGTATTCATAGAGAATAAGCTGTTCTCTCACCTCTCACAGAAAGTACTGAAATCCCACCTTACATGATGAAGTGTCCGAGTAATGGTTTGTGTAGCAGACTTCCTGCAGACTGTATAGACTGTGCGACCAATTACTCCTGTGTTTATGGGAAGCCTGTCACTTTTGATTGTACAGTGAAACCCTCTGTTACCTGTGTTGTAAGTATTGCAGCTTATCTATTCTAACTGTAAAGTTAAAGATATAGCCTGCGTGGGGCGGGAGGAGGGGTGGCTGTATTCTGAAAAAAAATTTATGGTCTTACATAACTGCACTATAAAGCATTTTAAAATCTTGCCTTTGGTGCTAAGGATCTAGCTCAGAGATAGAACATGAGCTTAGCATGTATGAGGGCTTGGACGCAACTCTTAACACCTATCCCCCAATTTTTCTCCCCAAAATAAAAGTCTTGAGCTGTGAAGATGACTCAATCAGAACAACATGAGGGACTGAGTTTAAGATTTTTAGCACCAATGTAAAAAGTCTGGCCTGACTGCAAGCCTATATAATGCAAGCACTGGGGAGGTAGAGGCAGGAGAGCCCCTAGGGCTTGCTGATCAGTCATTATAGCTGAATCTTGGGCTGGGGTAAAGTACTGCTGTGCATGCTTGAGGATCCAGCTTTGGAGCTCCAGATTCAGTGAACTAGGCTGTCTCAAAAAAATAAGGAGATGGGGTCAGGCATGGTGGCTCACGCCTTTAATCCCAGCAAGCAGGAGGCAGAGGCAGGCGGATCTCTGAGTTCAAGGCCAGCCTGGTCTACATAGTGAGTTCCAGGACAGCTGGGACTACAGGGAGACCCTGTCTCAAAAAGACCAAAAAATAAAAAATAAGGGGATGGACAATGGGGAAAGACACCGGACGTCAACTTCTGTCCTCCACATGCACCAGTGCACACACTAAAATAAAATAAATAGGAATATAAATAATAATCTTTTCATTCCCTTCCATATCAGATTATTCTTGTTTTAATTATAATGCTAGCTAACAGGCTGGTTGATGTTGGCTGGAAATGTATAGGACAGAAATGTTGCTTTGTAGACTTGAAGATGTCAGTTTGTTAGCATAATTTTTTTAGATAGCTTCTGGGTTCTTTAATATTTATTTTTGTTTTAGTGTATGAATGTTTTGCTTGCATGCACTATATGCATGTAGTACCCACAGAGGTCAGAAGAGGGTGTCAGATCCCCTGGAACTGGACTTAACAGACAGTTAGCTACCATGTGGATGCTGGGAACCAAACCCAGGTTGTCTGCAAGAGCAACCAGTGTTCTTAACCACTGAGCCATTTCTCCAGCCCAACTTCTAGATTCTAAATAGTGAGAGAGCAGGTATGCAGAGAGGATGGTAGTGTCTTCTACCGTAGATGAACTTACAAAGGGATCAATCTAGTCAGAGATAATGGGAGAGGCAGCATAGCCCTGCAACCAGTCTCCACGTAGGTCAAGCCAGATCCATGACTAGGCCACAGAAAAAGTTCCAGGACAAGCCAGAGTGAAGCACAGTTAGCAAGTCTATTAAGTAGAAATAGGAAATAATGAGCAAGTTTATTAAGTAGAGATAGGAGATAGTAGACACTTCAGATTTAAGAATGGGTGTTAAGAGGGGGACAGTTAAGAAAAAGAAAGTACCCAGTCCCAAGAGATGAGTGCTGCCTTCTCCAGACAGTTGTGCTTGCGTGTCCTCACAATGGCTATTCATACGATTCTGTGGCTTTCTAAGTTATAGTATTTAAAGGCTATAATTTACAACAAGGTTTAAACATTTTAAAGGTTTTAAAAAAGAGCTGTTTGCTTATTTTTCTTGAAGAGTATCCTTTGGAAATGAAATTGTGAGGTGGTTTTATGAAATGTATTATTTAGAGGGGATGAAAGAGAAATCCTAGTGCAGTTAAAGTCAAGGCTAGATCATTCTGGCCATAAGTAGGCATAGTTTGTGCCCCCCTCCCCCAACACATTCTTGTTTGATAGTCTTTCAGAAAGGAAGCACTGTCTTTCTAGGCAATTTTAGCTTTATTAGTTGTCCTGAAGTTTTTGACTTTCAGCCAATGGGAAATGCAAACAAGATCCTATGGCAAGGGGGCTTCTTTCCCTTCCCATGTCCTCATAATTTTATCTCTTTCTATCCTGCCTTGTTCTCAGTGGGAGGAAGATGGAGTCAGTAAATGCTGGGGTTATCTAGTAGCTCTCTGGAAATAAAAAAATGAAGTGAACGTCCCAGCGGGTAGAAGGATCAGATGATTGCTTTTGTTGAGAGATACTGACTATGAGGAGTAGAATCCAGGTTCTCTGGCCATAGTCTGGTACTTCTGTAACCAAAGCACATTGCCTAGCCTGCAAATTCTAAATCATCCTTACCATCTCCTGACTCAGTCTACCTCAGGGGGGTTACTTGTGCTGAATGAACACTTGACACATCAACCATGATGCAGTCCAACTGAGAAAGGCCACGTGATAATAGCAACTCAAGACCACATATGTGGTTCCTCTAAGCCCTAGGGAGGATTTCCAGCCCAAGAGTGTGTGTCTTGGTTGCTAATGTGCAGGAGAGTATCTAGCATGTACTTCCCCTAGTGCTCAGATTAAGGGTGTGCACCAGCACTCCTGGCCAACTTTCGGTATTTTAAGTTTATCTAGATTTTTTTCTTTATATATATATAAAATATATATGTACCCGTATATATTTTATGTATGTTTATGTACCCATTTCTTTTACTTGCTGCTGGCTCCTAATTGTAAGTTTTTTAGAAATTTGGTACCACGTGACTATGTGATGTTATTGATACGGTAACAAGCCACCATATTGTGACTCTTTGTCCTTTGGTTCTTAGGACCAAGACTTCAAATCCCAGAGGAACTTCATGATTAACATGACTTGCAGATTTTGCTGGCAGCTTCCTGAAACAGATTATGAGTGCTTCAATTCCACCAGCTGCATGGCAGTGGCCTGTCCTCGGCAGCGTTATATTACCAACTGTACAGTGCGGGACCACATTCACTGCCTAGGTAAGTAAGAGTTCAAGGAAGCTTTTTAGGCAGATAGTTTTCTCCTAGTTTACTCATGGGACCTTAACCAGAAATTTGAGAATTAGTTAAATTAAATACGAATTAATTGTAATCACATTTTTTAGATGTACCAGTTCTCATAATAAACTTGATGAACTGAAGAAAAAAATCCAGAAAATAATGCATTTCTTCTATTTTAATCATAATTTTGGATAAAATAAGAAAAATACCTCAGATCTAAAATACAGAAATTGGAGACTGGAGAGATTGGCTCAGTGGTTTAGAGCACTGGCTATTCTTGCAGAGGACCCAGGTTTGTTTCCCAGCACCCACAAAGCAACTAACTCCGGTTCCAGGGGATCCAGTGCCCTCTTCTCACTTCCATAGGCATTGCATGCATGCGATGCAGTGCAGGCAAGACACTCAGAAAATAAAAATAAGTTAAAAAGTTTGGCCTTTCATATTTAGGTCTGTTATCTATGTGGAATTCATTTGGTAGCTGGTATAAATAAAGGTAGACTCAACTTTCTATTTTTCCACATGATTAGCCCTAAATTAACTGATTTAGGCATTAAATGTATGCTTATAGATGGCAAGGATTTTGATTTTTGCTGTTTGCTGTAGTAAACATATTAATATTTTTTATTTAAAAAAATTTGGGGGGGGGAGTCTTTTTGAGACAGGGTCTCTCTGTAGCCCCAGCTGGCCTGGAACTCGCTTTGTAGACCAGGCCATGCCCGGCTATTTTTTTTTTTATGTGTATGAGTGTATTGGCTGCATGTATGTGAATGCACCCGTGTTGTGCAATGCTACAGAGATCAGAAGAGGGCTTCGGATTCCCCTGGAGCTGGAGTTAAGGACAGTTCGTAGTTGTCATGTGGGTGCTGGGAATTGAACCCGAGTCCTCTGCAAGAGCAGTCAGTGCTCTTAACCACTAAGCCATCTCTCCAGCCCCTCTGTAATAAACATTTTAGTAAAGGGGTGACTTAGATTCTAAATTACAAGGCCATTGTTTATAGGTAAGTCTGTGTGAGAGTATTTTTGTACCCATGTTTTAATGTAAAGTGTTTCCTTTTTTGTAAGGTAACCGTACTTTTCCCAAAATGCTTTATTGTAATTGGACTGGAGGCTATAAGTGGTCAACTGCTCTGGCTCTAAGGTAAGCTTTTTTAAGAAGTTTAACTGCTATTTGGATTTCTTTGGGATCAGTAGAATCTTCCGGACATTTTACTAAGCCCAGCTAATCCACCACTCAGAGCCTTGGACTTGTCTTAGGTAGACACTATGAAACAGCTGTGGGAGATTAGACAGTACCTTTGTGGAACTAAATGGCAGGTGTTAGCTTTTCCCAAGATGTCTATGTATTCTAGAGGTGACAATGGAATTATTACTATAGATTATTAGAAACAGTTTTGTATCCTGAATTTATATGAATCAATAAAATGTTATAGACAGCTTAAAACATGTAGCTATATAAAGTATATTTTTAAATACCTTATTATAAAAAGTAATAATAGTCTCAGTACTACAAACAGAAAAATGAAAGAAAAGCAGTTTTTCTTTTAATGTGTATGTGTGTATTAACTGCATGTAGGTAAGCGCACCCGTGTCGTGCAGTGCCCACAGAGGTCAGAAAAGGCTGTCGGATCCCCTGGGACTGGAGTTACGGACAGTTGTTAGCTGCCATGTGGGTGCTGGGATTTGGACCCGGGTCTTTTGCAAGAACAACCAGTGTTCTTAACTGCTGAGCCATCTCTCCAGCCCTAATTTTTTAAATTAAAAAAAAACCTTTTATTGTGTTTGTGTATGTGAGTGTGCCAGAGCACACTCCACAGTTTTGTGGACTCCATTTTTTCCTTCAACTTGTACATGGGTTCTGGGATTGAACTCAGCTTACCAGGCTCTTGCAGCATGTACCTTTACCCACTGAGCCATCTCATTGGACAATTGTACACATACAACTATTATATCAAAATGAGCATGTATTGGATAAGAAATGGCTCAGTAGGTAAATGCTGCAGAAGCATCGGGTCCTGAGTTCAGATCTCCCAGCGCCCAAATGAAAAAGCCAAGTGGGGCTGGAGAGATGGCTCAGCACTGAAGAGCAATGGCTGCTCTTCCAGAGGACCTGGGTTCAATTCCCAGCATCCACATGGCAGCTAACAAGCATCTGTAACTCCAGTTCCAGGGAATCTGATGCCTTCTTCTGACCTCCACAGGCACTGTATGACATGGGTTCACTTATATGCATGCAGGAAATACACTCATACACATAAAATAAAAATAATAAACTTTTTGAAAAAAAAAAAACCAAGTGCAGCAGTGTATGCCTATAATTCCAGAGTTGGGCGAGGCAGAGACAGAGAGTTCCCAGGGGCTCACTGGCCAACCAGTCTAGCTGAAATGGTGAGCTCCAGGTGCAGTGAGAGACACTATATCAAATGATAAGGTGATTGGTGATAGAGTGAGATACCCCAAGTTAATCTATGGTCTCCCCATGTGCATGCACAGACAAGTGCACCTGTGCGCACATATGTGCATACACATGTATTCCTCATACACAAAAGAAAAGAAATGTGCATGGATTGTTAAACTTTTCAACAGTTTTTAAAGCAATTGTACCAGCTCTTCTCAGAAGGGAAAGATATGAGACTCTAGTCACATAATTAATTAAAAGTCATGCTGTTCACAGCCGAAGTGATAGTGTTAGACATGAGGCCCTGAGACCCACAGCGTGTGATAGTAAGGCAGAGTTGCTCAACCTTCTCACTGTTGACATTTTGGGTCAAATAATTCTTTTTGTGGGGCTGTCCAGTGCCTTCTGGAGTGCTTGAAAGCACCCTGACCTTCCAATTGTCAGGAAGCCCCAGTTGTGATCATCAGAATCTCTCCAGAGATTGCCAAAGGTCCCCTAGGGGACGAGCTGCCACTTGCTGGTAACCACTGCACTAGGATTTGGGCTGTGGAAAGAAAAGAATCCTGCCTGTGTAAAAGGGGTAATTGGAAAGTAAAAGGAGTCCAGAGTGGAAATTCAGGTGCAATGAAGTAAGATTCAGTAACTGGACATATAAATGTTCTTTCTTGCAGTGGTCCAAATTAAACCTAACAACTGACTCTTTAAAATTATTAATTTTTTTTTTTGTTTTGCTTTTTGAGATAGGGTCTTGCTACATACTTCTGGCTGGCCTCAAACTCAGCCTCTTAAATGCTGGAATTATAGGTTTGAGCCACTACGCCAAGTAAATGAACAGATAATTTAAAATAATTTCAGTTTTACAGAAAAATTGCAAAGATAGTAGAGAGCTCCTGTAACAGCCATTGCCTGGTTCCCTTATATTGTTGGCATCTTAGCTACATGGTGTATTTTAACAACTGACTTAGAAATTATGAAGTGTTCTTCTGAGAGCCTAGTATAGGTACTTTCATAGTGTTCACTATAAGGAGATAATGTCTTTGTGCTTGCTCCAGAATACAGTTGGCCTTTGATATCCTTGGGGGGTTGGTTCCAGGACCCCATAGGTACTAAAATCCATGGGCATTCAATTCCCTTTAAATAGTATTGTATTTGCACAGCACCTGTGCACATCCTGCCTATACTTTAAGCATCTCTGGATTTCTTGTGCTCTCCAGTGCAATGTAAACATAATGTAAATACTTATAATTCTATATTATTTAGGGAATAACAAGAAAAAGGTTGTACATGTTCAGTATTGATGTAGTTTTTTGTTTTTTGTTTTCTTTTCCCAAAAGTGTTTTCACTCAATGGTCCACTGAGATATAGAACCTTCCTTTGGTTACAGAGAGCCAGCTACTCTGTGGTGGGGAGAGTGTAGATGAACAGCATCAGGGCCAGCATCAGAGTTGGCCACATGTGGATACTTGTCCCAACAAGTTGGTTCATAGATTCCAACTGACTTTTTTCCTTTTCACTGTTTTGTATGTTTTGAACTTTCCATAATGTCCCAGTATCTTAGAATTTGAAGGAACTTTTAAAATCAGTCATTGACTAAATTTTTAGAGAAAAGTGACTGAAAAGATTAAGTGAATTGGTCTGCCAAATGTATCCTATGCTTAAGATTCCAATTCTGGATGGCACAGCAGCACTCTTGATCAATCAGACTGGGCCCCTGTCTGGATTAAAGAACAGTGAAGTTTGTTTTCTTTAGCAGCGGAAACAGATTTTAGTACAGCTGAAAGTTGTATGCTTTCTGTTTTTCCTCTGCTAAGATTGAACCAAGGGCCTCCCACATGCTAAGTCAGTATTTTTGGCAGTCTTCTAGCTCATAATTATTTGGTGTGGTGCATTTATGAAGCAATCTTGGGAGTTAGGATTGTTTGAGACCCTTTGCAACCTTGACCGTGGTGGGGCACGCTCAACCATCTGCACTTACGGAGTCCAGGCCACTCTGCTATTCTGTTGTAGCATCACCCTCGGTGGCTTTGGAGCAGACCGCTTCTACCTGGGTCAGTGGCGTGAAGGCCTCGGCAAGCTCTTCAGCTTCGGTGGCCTGGGAATATGGACACTGATTGATGTCTTGCTGATTGGAGTTGGCTACGTGGGACCAGCAGATGGCTCTTTGTACATTTAACTGTGGTTATGTGCTTCAGAGAGGAGCAGTGTTTAGAAAGTCCTTTGTCTTGTAGAAATTGCTGTGATACGAATGGTCTATTTATGTTCTTAATGTACAGCATCTGTACTTTGCTTGCCTTGATGAAGGTAAAATAAAGAAATGAAACACTGAAACATGCCAATCTAGATTTTTTTTTCCTGTGAAAAAAAGTTTATCTTAAAGGCTGAAGAACAGATTCTGCAGGTTGGAAAGTTTGCTGTTAAAAGTCCTGTGGCATTAGTTGTGTGTTGCTTGAGTCATGCTTTGTCACTCTGTCCCCCACTGGAATGTTGTCTGCCTTGGAAGCCTTTCAGCTGCGACTGCAGGGAATGGGACAGGTTTTCCCAGCAGGCTTCCATCATCTGTATGTCTTGAGTGTAATGTCTTTCAGTCTTTTAGTGCATAAGTTTTGTGTCTCGTTTGCCATAATGAAGTCTGTCAGCATTGTAAAGGATTGCAAGGGTAAAATTAATTTTTAAAAAATTAATAAAACTGAAGACTACCTTAAATATAGACCTGTTTTCTATGTTTTCCATGTTGAAATGTCTTGACTAATCACAACTTTTTATTACGGAAGTGAAATGTTTATTTTTCAGCACATTTCTCCTTTCCAAGTCATAGTTGGCTACGTGATTGACACAGTGGAGATGTTAAAAAGTGTGCTTCCATGCGATGTGTTTTTGAGCCTTTATAGATCTGCTCCAGACTTTTTATTGGAGAGAAAAATAATAACAAATACTAATCAAAAATGAGTTTTACTCAGGGTTGGTCTAGAAACATTTAAAAATTAATATTTTTCCTTACAAATTTGAGCATCTGAGAACTGCTTTTTAGACATCCCAACATGATAATGACCAAGAGACTGTTAAATGATATATCAGACCTAGAAACTAAAATATCTTTGGGTACTATGTCTGAATCTCATGGGGCAGCCAGGCATGGTGCCTCATTCCTGTAATCCCAGCATTTGAGAGGCTGGGGCAGGAAGACTGTGATTTTAAAACTAACCTACACTGCATAGTGCTTTCCAGGCCAAATTGGCTGCAGAGACAGACACTGTTTCGGCGGGGGGGTGTAATGGGGCAAACTTCTCCAGATTATTTATTAATCATAGGTTACCTGAAAGGGTAATTAAATCACTTAGGTGATAACCTTTGAACAATGGGAGTCTTGAAATCCAAAATCTTGTCTGATAGGAGCAGTTCCAGTTCTGGTCAGTAGATGGCACATCCCTGTTAGGTTTATGTTCTAATTCTATCTCTAAATTGCCAGTCTTGAGTTTTTACCTAGGAACTTGCCACACACACAACATGGACGTACTTCAGGTTGTGTGGACTTTTCTAAGGGCAAATGATTACTTTTTCTCATCCATAAGAATGGTCAAGCAGGTATTCAGAAAATGACTTTTTTTCTGTAGGAAGCAGCCCCTTGCCTATAATAACGAAATTGTTCCTGCATCTTTTCCTTCTTAGTTCTGTGTAAAAGAATCTCTGATCTTTCTCTTTCTCTTTTGAGCAAACTCATGAGGTGGAGTCTGGGAAGTGACTTGGGATGTTACTGTATTAAATATGATCATGAAGAAAATAGCAACTTCTTGAACTGTTGACCATCTTCATGGCTTTGGGACCTCAGTTTAATGAGCAGCAGTGTTTAAAGGTGAAAATGCAAACAGAATCCATGATAGAAGTTGTGAATAAACTTGTGCCCAAATACTAAAACATTTGCAGGAGTGAATACTTCAGAACCAGTCTGATAATGCTTCTATCATGGATTTGTGGACTTCATGGTCTCTGAGGCAGAGCTAGTAGAAAATATGAAGTCTTTCAAATCTGCTTTAAACAAATTCACAAACGATAAACTCATGCATGACCCCTAAAGGAACCCACAGAATAAAACACTTGGAGAGGGTACCAACAAAGGCATGATCTGTTGCAGATCCAAAGATGCCAAATTTGGATTTAGCTTTCAGATTCTCTTACCAGTCCATTGGGCTGCTGTAATGAAAGGCATAAACTGAAAGTAGAGCTGGGCTGTCCAAGATCAAAGTGCTGGTAGATTGAGGGCCAGAAAGGCCCTCACATGTGTTAGTAAGCAGGCTCCCTCTGGGGCTTTTGTGATCCATGAGGTTTCAACTCCTTAATCACTTCTGTGGGCTCACTTCCTTGTGCTGCCTTTGGTGTTAAGATTTCAACAGAAATGTCGGCGAGGGAACACACATTCAGACCCCAGCACGTGTGCCATGAGCTCTGACTTGGTACATTAGGAAACCAGGCCTGCTTACTGATGGTTTTCTAGATAGTTGAGATTTATCACTGCAGCATGCCATTAGTCTTATGTCGCCTGTATGTCACCTTGCTTTGTCAGCACCTGGTAATTCCTCATGGGAAAATGTTATTTATTTCTAACTTCTCCTTTGTCCTCGGCATACCTTGCACACATACTTGCTGAGTGCGTTAGTGCCTTGACTGTCTTGAAGGTTTGGAGAGATTGGATAGCATTCTGGATACCAGCAATTGAGGTTCCTGCAGGGAGGTAATACATAGAAATTAGCTTTGAGTAAATATTTGCCAGTAACAACATGCTAATCTGATTTCTGCAAATTGCTGAGAAACAATTCTGGTTTATGGTGCATATAAGAAAATATGTTTAAAAGATCCTCTGCCACAAGATTTTTTAAATGTACAAGTATCTTTGCTATGGCATACCATTTTGCTTTACTGCTTTTGTGCCTTGCGCCAGAATTGCATTTATATTGGTGCATCATCAGCTAAAGAATCTGCAGGTGATTTTAATTCATGCATAAGCAATGAGGTGAAAATGAGCTATATGTGATGCAGCTGTTCAGATGCAACACCAAGCACTCCAAGCAAAGACAGATTCGTGTATCTGTGTTCCATGGCATATCCAATTCAGGTAGGTACTTCGGGATAAGTATGAAGTAAAATAAAAATGTAGCGGGGATTTGTAAGTTAAATTTGTTTTTTATTTTACTTTCTTTGTGTTGATATAGGAGTGACTTTTACTTAATCTTGCAATTAAAAGGTTAATCTTAGCTTTTTTATAATGTGGACAAGCTCTTTGAGCCTTGAGCCCTCCTTGTAGCCTAAGCTATGAGCTTAATCCCTTGTGACTGTTCCTTGCCCTTGACCCAGAATAACCATGTATGTGTGTTGGATATCAAGCAAGCTGCAATCAGTGATTATTTGTTGGAAACAACAAATTACCCCATTTGTGTTGCTAATAGCAAGTGGTATTAGATTGATAATATCTATTTGTGGCTGTGTGTGCTATTCCAGGTCAGAAATCCTTCTGATAAGATCTGCTTTTCCTTCCCATTTCATGCTGGATATACTGTTTCAATAAAAAGAGCAAGCCATTGTTCAGGGTACAGTTCTGAGAATTCTGAAGGAGTAGGTTCTCGGAGCACTTCAGGTACCCTCTTGGCTAAGATGAAGGCTCAGAGTCCGGCTGTTTTTATTCAGGTGTTGCTGTAATGTAGTATTGCATAACACCCACAGTGTAGTGCTGGGGCTCAAACCCAGGACCTCATGCATGCTGATAGTAGACAAGCCCTCTAATACTAAGCTACATCCACAGCCCTTAAAATTTTTTATTGTATATGCTTATAATGTATATGGTGTTATAGAGAAAATTGGCATACCTATTCTCAGACACGGTTACCTTTATTGTTTGTGATAAGGGCCCTTGAAATCTACTCAGTAAATTTTACCATGCTGAACATATATATGTAAGTTTATTTTTTCTTTCTGATGGGTACTAGGCATTGATCACAGGGCTTTGAGTATGTTAGACAAGTGTTTTGTCACCGAGTTATTATTTTTCATGCCTCTGTGGCTAAGTACCTGACAGGTAAGAGAGGTTATTATGGTTTCAGGGGGCTGTCAATCATTGTAAGAGGGGCAGGGCAACCCACCAGATCCCTCCTCCTAAAGACTCCACAGGCTTCAAAATGGCACCATAAGCTGAGGACTAAGCATTCAAAATGACTTGTGAGGAACATTCATATTCAAAACCGAACATAGTCCCCTGACCCCAGCTTGATCATCTTAAAATGCAAAATCATGTAATAGTCCAAGATCAAAATCGCTGTAATGTTTAAAAAGTTCAAACTCTCAGGGCCAGCAAGATGGCCCAGCAGTACTTGCATCCAAGTCTGACAACCTGAGTTTGCTCCCCAGAACCTACATGGTGGAAGGAGGTAACAGACTCCCACAAGTTGTCCTCTGGCCTCCACATGCACACCAGGAAATTGCAGGATGCCATACACACATGTGTACCCTATGGCACATTCGTGCCCCCACACATATACATACTTTGCACACCTCCCCCCAAATATGAATAACAAAATGTGATGAAAAATATTTTAAGTTTAAACTCTCTTCTGAGACCCAGGGAAACTGGATCCCTGTAAGAACAAAAAGCACATTATGTACTTCCAGTGTATAGTGGCGCAGAATAAACATTCCCATTTTAAAAGGCAGGAATGGGAGCAGAGATAGGAAAGATTGCCAAAGCAGACCAAAACCTGGCAAGACAAACACTAGGCCCTACAGCTCTGTTCAGCATCTAGGGAACATGATGGCATCACTTGAGCTTCAACAGGCTTTGGTAGCCCTGCCCCTATAGGCCCTGCTTCCTGTAGTGCATAGAGCTGTCTCTTGGGCTTGGTCAAGTCAGTGAGGGGAGCTTCCCTTCACATTCCACATTCCTGGTATCTCCACCATCCTGGGGCTTCCATTCCAACGTTGGCTTCACCCTTATAGCTTCAGGCATAGGCCACTCAGGGCCTCTGCAAGGACTCTGACCCTGCTACATACAGCCTGACATTACCAGCTTTTCCCTGGAGCAAGCCTCCATACCCCATCACTCTTCCAATCTGCATACCTGAAAATTAGTACCACATGGATGATCCCAAGTTCTGTCAGCTTGAAATGTACCCTTTACCACAGCTGTATGACCTCTGAGTGCCTGGGCAACTGACCAGGACAAACACTTCCCTGTGTGGCCCTTTGCCTACAGAGCATCCTGGAGGCTTTCTCTTTTCAGAAACTCTCAAATGAATTTGCATTTTTACACCCTAGAGCCTTCTGTTGTCCCAGTGTAAAGTGTGCAG